GGTTCGACGGTATCAAAGGCGGCTGAGATATCGAGGAGGACCGACAAGGACATATTGCCCCTGTCAGCCTCCCTCAGCAGGTCATCCAACAGTGCGACTAGTGCCGTTTCTGTACCGTGGCACGGCCTGAATCCTGACTGAAATGGATCCAGAGCGTTAGTTTTATCCAGAAGTGCCTGAAGCTGATTAGCCACCACCCTCTCTACCACTTTGCTAAGGAAGGAAACATTGATGACAGGACTATAATTGCCAATTTCGTCCGCCACCAAATTTGGTTCTTCCTAATGGGCCTAATGAGTGTCTCCTTGAGGGCAAGAGGAACCTTGCCCTCCTGGAGAGACCCATTAATTATCGCTGTGGCCCATTCCGTTGTTATAGGCCTGGCTGCTTTGATTAGCCGGGCCAGACTCAAGAGAGGAAGTGGTGGCCCGACATGGATCAAGCGCTTTGTCCACTATATCTGGTGTCACAGGCTGAAAGCACTCGAGTGTCACTGGGCAAGGCGGAGCACTAGACATCTCAACTCGATTGACTATATTTAAAGGAGGAGGGAGATCCCGGCGGATGGCCTCCACTTTTGATTTTAAAAATGCTGCAAATTGGTCAGGTGAGAGAGTGAGGCCCATCACCCAGACCAATTCCGGACAGATTGTGAACTATATGGAATAATTCCGCCTGCTGATTGGAAGCTTCGCTTATCCGGTCAGCAAAGTGATCGTTTAGCAGCCTTGACCTTAGCCAGGTAATGGTTAGTTACGATCCTGACAGTTTTCTTATTATAATCCGTCGGTTTCTTTCTCCAGATGCACTCTAGCCGTCTCCTGTTTCGCTTCATTGCTCGTAGGTCCCGATTATACCAGGCCCCTGGCCGAGCTCTGCGCCTGAGAGGGTGTTTGGGAACTATTGTGTCTACAGCCCTAGTGGCGGCGGCAAGCCAGCCGTCAACCAGAGCTTCGACATGAGCGCCAGACAGGTCAGCTGGAATCCCTCTCGTGGTATCCTGGAATCATAAAGGATCTAGTAACCTTCAAGGGCGGACCACTGAAATAGGTCCATGCTCCCTGCGGGGAGGGAGTGCCACCGAGAGGTTACATTTTATTAGGTGGTGATCTGACCATGACAAGGGGAGTGACACCATCAGAACACGGTCGCTCCGCTCTGTGGAAAATACCAGGTCAAGCATATGGCCGCCCACGTGTGTGGGACGATTGACATGTTGGGACACGACCAAGGAAGCCATGGTTTCCAAGAACTCAAGAGCTGGACCGGAAATCTCTGCCTCCGCATGGATACTGAAGTCACCCAGGACTAAAAGCCTCGGGGACTCCAACAGTGCTGCGGAGACAAAGTCCACCAGCTCCGGTAAGGAGGTGGCTGGGTCGCAGGGAGCGTTGTAACCCAGCAAGATCCCAATATCGTCCCTGGCCCCGACCAACACATGGAGGGCCTTCAGACCCGGCTTAACCACAGTAGAGCGCCTAGTAACCTCAAGAGTATTTCTATAAACAATGGCTACTCCCCCCCGCCCCTCCAGTATACCCTGGTGCTGTACTGCATAACCGGGAGGACAGGACAGGGTCAGGGGTACTCCCCCTTCCCTGCTCATCAAAGTCTCAGTCATGCACGCCAGGTCTGCATCCTCCTCCAGAATAAGATCTTGAATAATCTGGGATTTATTGGACACAGACCTGGCATTTAACAGCATCAATTTTAGAGTGGCGGGCCAGCTGATCTACCTACCTTCAGTCTTCACAGGTACCTTCTCTGGTCTGCTAACCCGGAATACCCCACCCAACAGGGTGGGGTATTTGGCCCAGCTAAACTTTAGCATATCCCATTATTTAAGATGGGAAAATCATTATTTTCTGTAGAAGAATTTTCTATGTGGTGGTACATACATTTCTTGTTTCTAGCATTTGAAAGGTTACCCACTCTGTTATTTAAGATGGAACCCCAGCAAAATCACCACAAAATGCCACCCTTCTAGCTCTTAGCATTTTGGGAACCCTTTGGGACAAATGGCCAAAGGCAGCTTGGGTTTTATCTGTAAGGCAAGGCCCTGGAAAAGGTCGTCCAAAGGTTTGGAACATCATCCATTGGCTAAGCACACTGAAGCAAAAAAAGGGGGGGGGAGGATAGGCTGATTTCAAAACAACTGGGCAACAGACACATGCTGTATGTTTAGTTCTCCTAGGGCAGCAAGAGGACTAGAGAATCCTTCCTTCCTTCCTTCCATGGGTAGGCAGGAGCCTCAATGGGCACTAGATGGCATGGCTGGACTCCAGGTAACGTCCACCCAAACCACACAGTACAACAACCCTAAATAAGACATATTCTCCAAGACAACATGCATCTGACTTCAGCCTTTACAAGTTCCATTTAAAAAAAAGAAAAACAGTCAAAGATAACCATACTTCAAAGGCTGGTACAGGAAATTACTGGTGAGTTGATAAATCCAGAAAAGCTTTTGGCAGCCCTTCAGAGCAAATGCTTCTGGCCTTGAGTGTACCAGAAGTGTATGTGGCCATCCCAATAAATCCAACCAGCTATGGCTTAGGTCTCTCGCTGGTCAGGAGAGGCAAGGCATGGTGCAGGGTGCTGGTGGTGGGAGATTCAGATGCTGCAACGCATAGGATGCTCAGCAGCACCAGCATGCAGCTGGAAGGCCCAGGCAGCAGACATGCATACATGCATGCACGCATGCATGCAGGGGCTACTGATAGATCCCGTCAGGCTTCCCTCGCAGCTCTGGCTTACTGCAATGGGCATGTTGGAGGACAAAGAAGCCTTTGCTTTCTGGGATGTTTTGCTACTGTGAGCCCACTGTGAGCTGGAAACATCTGGCTGAGTCTTCCTCATTTTACTCTTCCAGGCTTGAGGAGGCCTTCCCTCCAAAGGCCCCACCGCTTTCTCCCCAGTTAAGCAATGGGAGGGCCGAAACATTTGGGGAGGAAGAGGCTGGGGTTTCCAGCTGCAGGTCAGCAGGCCAGGCGCTCATGGGCAGCTCTCTTTTTCGCCAGGTCCATCCTGGACTCTTTGAAACCACGAGCCAAGTTTCCACAGCCAGCACAAGGGACTGTTTTTTGTTTGGCCCAAGCCATTGCTCCTGACCTCTGAAACAGCCTGCCTTTGGAGCAGATTGATTAAACTGTGCCTCTGAGCTTGTGCAGAGCTGCCTCCCTCCGCTCTCCCCCCACCCCCGCCGCTGCTCATTCACTTGGAGGGGTTTTTAAGCTACACAGGAGGTTTTGTTTGTGAAGGACATTATGGCCCTGGAATCTTTCAAGGCGCGTCGCCGGATAGAGCTGGCCTTTCAGAAAGTGCCCAGAGACAAATCTGGCCAGTTCTAAACGTAAAAAAAGGGGTCTCCCCTCCCCCCCCGTCGACTTCCCCAGCTCTCCTGAGGGCAGCCTTGGCCAACAGCACTTGAGGAAGGCCTGGGTCGTATCCAGGGCAACCGTCAACCGTTCCTCCTGTTTGGCAAAGATTCCCTGCTGGCTGCTGCCTTTGCCCCCGTGCCCTCCAGAGCGGGGCCCAGAGGGACCGAAGCCCACTAGGCCAGGAACCAAAGACCACCCCAGGAACGTGAGCAGCAGAGAAAGAGACGGAATGGACACTTGTGTGCTTCCTGCAGCCGGAAGCAGGACGGGTCTGCAGTCCTCCCTCTGAGCAGCCTTTCCACTCGGTCTCACCCACAAAGAAAATGACATACGTTTTGACATACAGAAAGTTCTTCCCCGTTTTATTTCTGCACAAGACAAAGCAAGGCACCCAGCATTTTGTACAGAAGGAAGGGTGGCAGCACCACACAGGAGCCCAGTTGAGGATGACAAAATGAGGAGGAGGATCGTTAAAGCAGACCTTCCCCAACAAGGATGATGCCTGCAGGCACCCAGACTCCTCGCCCCCTCCCCTCCTGGAAGGGCAGGACGCGCCTGTCCTTCCGCGCAGGGTGTAGGCGTCTTCCCTGCCACCACAGCCCCCCAAAGAGTCCCCTGTGCTGGTGAAGCTTCGTTCCCTCCTCCCTCCAGCGGGTGAGCAAAAGCATAGGGCAGGGCAACTGTTCCGCTACGGAGACCTCAGGAAGGATCAGCCCTTCAGCCGCATCGTCATCCATGGGGCCCTGATTCCTGGGAGAGGAGGGAGGAGGGGCTCCCTTCCTCCTCTAAATGAGGGTCAGGTGTTTGTCCTCGGCCAGCCCATACCTGCCCTTGTGCTCCTCAAAGAGCTGGACCAGCTTCTCCAGGTAAGTCGCATGCAGGTGATCGATGGCTTCCCGGGAGGGGTGTGGGGTCTTGGTCACAAGGATTGGGGCCCCCACTGCAGGAGAGATGTGGGCAGGCAGTTAGTATCCTCAAGTGTGAAAGGTTCCCCTCTTCAAGCTGGGGAATGGGCCAGGCTCACTGGGAAAAAAGGGTAGGAGAACCTGGGCTCCCTCCAGAAGAGACAGGAGAGCACCCTCTGCAGGCCTTTGCTCCCCCCCCCATTTGCACCCCTGGGAGAAAGAGAGCAGCAGCACCCCTCCTCGGAAATCCAGACTGCCCAGGAGGGAAGCTCTGCAGGCAACCAGCAGTGGCCCTCTCCCTCCGCCGCCGCCCCCCCAAGACTTACTGGGAACTGGGAAGGAGGATAGTCAATGGGGTGGCACCTCCTTTTATGGAAGTGGGGCTGGCTTTGCAAGTTGCTTGTGGACTGTGTCAAAGCGGCCTCCAACACACTGGTGGGGAAGGGTTCGGCCAGCCTCTCTCTCACACACACACACACCCCCGGGAGTTGCAAGAGGCCCAGCTGCCTTGCCAGGCCTCCGGGGCCCCACAGTCACCGCAGAGCAAAGTCCGAGGCTGCAGGCACAGGGAGATTTAGAGCTGGCTGTTGTAGGTTTTTCGGGCTGTTGGGCTGTGTTCTGAGCACAGCCAAACAGCCTGGAAAACTTACAACAGCCATCGGATCCTGGCCATGAAAGCCTCCGAGAATACAGATTTAGAGCTCTTTGCAAAAATGAGTGAGAAAACAGAGATGGGAGACCAGGGGCCGGCTGGCCAGGCAGGAGGAGTTGCGTCAAAGAGGCAAAGGGTGAGCTTGGCAGTAAACGAGAAGAAAGGAGAGACGGGTGGTATCACAAGCGCCTGAAGGCACTGGATGGACTCCCTGAAGGAGCAGGAGAGCTGTCGCCTTTCCCCTTCCGGGCTGCTGGGAAAGAGAGCCAAGACCTGTGGCAATCAGGGGAGGACACTGACAAGCCACCTTCCCCCAAGACGCCCCTTTGGTGGTTAAGGCCTGCGTTAGGATGCAGGACGAGCCCGTTGGCACACATCCTGGCCCCCGTGAGAGTCGATGATGGCCTGAGCGGCCAAACTCACCCACGGTGTGAATCGGCCTCCGGAAGGGAAGGAGGCCAAAGCTGTACTGGAAGACGCCGCGGGCATGGAAGAGGGGCAGGGCCAGCCCCATGGCCTTCTGAAGCCGCTCCTGGATGGTACGGATGACAGAACCTTGGGGGTTGGAGACCTGGTGGAACAGCTCATTCTCCCCAAAGGAGAAAACAGGGACCAGGGCAGCTCTGGGAGAAGGTGGGATGCAAGAAGCAAGGGAAGAGAAGAGAAGGCATTCAAGTCGGGGGGTCCGGAGGGGGCTGTGCTCTCAGAATTCACACTCTTGTTCCCGACACCCCGGGGCTGAACCCGTTCACCCGTGGAACCTGCAGCCTGAGTTCTCAGCTGCCTCAAGCAACACTTCTCCTCCCGTAACCCTTACCTTCACTCTGCCGTGGACACCCAACACCCCAAGGTGCAAGGTGTTGTGAGGGAGAGAGGCAAAGCAGAAGAGATGCCCCTGGAGGCTGTCAGTCCCTCCCATCCAGCTGTGCTTCAATCCTGCCCAGAGAGAACTCACTCCCATCCAGCTGTTCTGCTCACCCCTGCTGCAGTGCGGTTTTAATGAACCCCTTGCGGCTGAGGACCTGGAGGGTGAGAGCGCCTGGGCGGGCATCCAAGGACTCTGGGGGCCCTCCGACCACGGCCACCGCAACTTGGCCCCGGCGTTCCTGGCCCAGGAGGTAGCAGGCACTGGCCTTCTCTGAGGAAACCAGCCCTGAGGGGAGAGAGCGCAGAGGTGGGCTCAGGGCTGCGGCAGGCCCAGGCCCCGAGGGAGGGGCGGGGGGGCTTTTGCACACAGCTCCAAGGGGCTCCACGGGGCTCCTGCCAGCCTTGCTCCCACAGAGGTGTGGCTGGGGGGCTCCAGTTCCATCCCTCCCATCAGGAAGAGGGCCACAAGGTTCACCTGCACACATAATGTAGTCCCGGAAGAAAGGCACCTTGAACCAGAAGGGCAGCATCAGCAAGTGGGGGGTGAGGCCCGGGAACTGCTCCGAGAAGCCCGTGGCCTCCGTGCAGAAATTCCCAAAGGCACCGGCGACCAGCACCCCGTGTGGGTGGAAGCCAAAGATGTAATTGTGGGATGGATCCAGATGGGCTGTCTTCACCAGCTGGAGGAGCAGGAGGTGACAAGAGGTCAGGTTAAAGCAAACACCCAAAAACGCAAGCAGATGGTGAGAGAAACTGTCAGGTCCTCCCCTTCCTTCCCCCCCCCCCCGCTGGAGAACGAGGGGGGGAA